AAATAGTGAAATTAAATGCCAGTGAAAATAAATGCTTTTACAGTATTTGTTATTTTCCAACCATTCACAGTAAACAAACATTGCTAGAAATGTGAAATTATATTGGTGTTAGAGAAACTGGTGCATTCTGTATCAAGACACCATTTATAATTTCTCATATTTGCATTATAAAATTAAAATATTTACCTTTGTTTTCTGAGAGATTAAACTTGCATGTTGTAATATTCAATTAACAATGATCTGATTAACTCATCAACTTAATTAATAAACACCTTATTGTTGCAATGATATCAGGAATACTAATTATATGAAAAAAAATTGATTATTTATTATTTTGATGTGTTCTAAATTTATAGATTATAAATAACTACAGCGTATTAACAAAGATTTGAAATGCATCATCATTCCAGTATAATATCTAAATTCAGAATTTACTAAAAATATTGTGACATACTCTGCATCAAATGATATAGTACCTTCATATTCGCTTCATACAACATAATATTGTGTTCAACTCTGCAAATATTTACTGTGATATAATATTTTATTGTGTACTATTCAGTTCCTGATACATTATTAAATTAAGTAAACATTTAAGTGCTCTGTCATACTAAAGTGAATTCCATTTTAGTTACTATTAATAACATAGTCTGGTGACAACATTCATTCACTGCGCACTAATCTGCCAGGTTTGTTTATGATTTTGTGTTTTGCTGAAGCCTGAACTAGTTTTTTATATTATTGGTATTTAGATAATTATTTCTTTGGGTTTTGTTTTTATTGGGCCAGACAAAATTTCTATTGCTATTTGCTAGTGTTATTTGTTTTTGAATTTGTATCTGATAAATATTGTGAAGGTTAACACAAAATAAATTACCGGTACTTATAGTACCACTTAAAATGAAATAGAATTTGATACTCAGTGAAAAATATTATGTGTTTATAATTGTGATAAATGATATGAACACATAACATTTCAGAAAATATTTATGTTGACTTTATCATTTGCTGAAATTGCTTCAGTACAATGAAGTTGGAAAACAGGTTTCAGCTGTATTCAATAATGTCATAGTAACAGTAACAGAACCAGCTAGAATATTACATTATGAAGCATTTATTAAATCAGATTATGATAACTTTAATTAATTATAACTTAAATTAATTATTATAATTATTGCATTTACAGTATTATCTATGAACCAAGGTGAATGAATGTACAGCTTATGCAGTCAGTGTTTTACATAGAGTCACTGTAAAAGCTCTTAATTTCCCTGGAATTTTGCTCACAAATGACATATTACTGAAATTATATGAACATGTGAAATTACTGTAGAATTGTTTTCACCTGACAAACCTATGAATTTGAAATGCAATGAGTATTTTCAAAATAGTGACTACCATAAAA